ACAATCTGATTTATTCCATTGTGGTTTGTGCGATTTTGCTGTATGCAGATTAGTTGTTAAATTTCTTTCATGACAACATTGACTGAACTTCAAAAGTATATCATTGTTAACAAAATGTTTTAGGACATTTTGAAGAAATGAACAGCACAATATAAATGCAAATTATTATTTTTACTTTGGGTATATTAGAAGAGTTGCATGTAGTAAACGAATTTTCGACTTCTCACAGCAGCCTTCCATATCATCTTTCTAAATGAGTGTACAAATCATCAGAAATACTATTGCTCTGGCCACGATTTGTAGGAATTTAAATTTTTATTATTTTCCTTAACTTCCTTCATGCAGAATCATTAACGACGGAGAGGAAATTCTCCAGTGTAGGAATGGCTTAGATTATGGTTTCAGTACTAAGGGGGTTGTGTGAAAATCCACTAAACTACACAGTGGAGGCAGTTGGTGTATTGGTAATGTCACTGGACCAGCAATCCAGAATCGCAGGCTAATGCTGTGAATATGTGGGTTTGAATCTCTGCCTAGCAGGTGATTAAATTTGATTTCAGTGTTAGAGAGCTGGCCTAATGGCAGCTGTCATTTTGTTTTAAAAGCCTGTCTGGTTCAATCATGTCCTTCGGGGAAGGACATCTGCTGTCCTTAAGTGGGTCTGAAGTCACAAGTAGGCCAGATCAATGTGGTTGACTCTTAACTGTACTGTGAGCAATTGGGGGTGGACAATAAAAGCTAGTCTGGGCAGTGATACCCACAGCCCGTGTTTTTTTTTTAAAAAGGTCTGTCTCGGAGTCTTCAACAACGAGATTCTGTAACCTCATCTACCATGTTCTGCCTCTTTGAATGCAAACCTTCAGTAAACTTTGATACATCCTGGGTCTTATCCCTATTTCTGTGCCAAGACGGAAGCATACATACGGCACACAGCTTCTAAAATGAACCTGTTGGTCCGGGTGGCCTGATTATATACTGTAAATACTTTTAATACTCAACTATTTTCCATGTTAAAGCATTTGGGCTTCTGGTGTATTTCCATTAAAATGGAACTCTTAAATAGGACTTTAAATAGGATTAAAGCTCCCATTCCAATAGGCCCTATCTCACATGCATTAAGAATTGATAGCAGGATTTGAATGAACCAGATGTTGCTGTAAATACATTGCAGGTCAGTCACCACCTTGAAAGTGTGTTAGTGTGTCAGTTCAGACCTTTCATCAGGCATCAGCTGGAATTTTATTTTTGAAATCGGTCACGATCAGATTACAGAAAGCTCCTTGGCCTGTTGGATCTTGCCCTTCTAGAGTGCTTTTTGCCTGTCACAGCTCTTCATAGCAACTTGAACAGAAGGATATCGTTTTTTCAGCTTTTAGGAATGATGGAATCTCAAGTAAGGTGATACTTGCTCCATACTACACTGGATCACCGGACTGGTGATCATCTCCACCCTTTACATCATTTCATTTGGTGTCTAGTTTTAAATAGCTGACTGCTCTTGTTACCAAAGTTGTAGACTCACTCCCTGAGCCGGTGTGTTTGATTGCAGACCTTTCGTCACCCTGCTAGGTAACATCGTCACTGTGCCTCCGGTGAGGCATTGGTGTTCTGTCCTGCTTGTTATTTATATGCCTTGGTTTACTGGGGTGGTTGGCATCACTTCCGGTTCTGTTTTTCAGTGGTTTGTACACAGGGTCTGAAACAGTGTGGACATGGAGGAACACAGCAGGTCAGGCAGCGTCAGAGGAGCAGGAAAGCTGACGTTTCGGTTGGGATCCTTCTTTAGAAATCAAATCAGGGTGACGAAATGTCTGCAAACACACTGGCTCGGCAAGCAAGCCTGCAACCTTATCCACAACCCGTGCTACAAATCTTCTCAAAAGCTTTGTTCTTGTTACTGTTTGTGTATTTGATTCTCTTTCTCTCTCTCTCTCTCTTTTTCTTACAGATATCGTGAAAAGGCAAAAGAAGATGCATCTGTTATAAGTGATTATGTCACTGAAATACTGGAATCTATTGGCAGGGTAAAGTCACTTAGGATTGTATTCCTTCCTTACCCCCTTTTTACTAAAGAATTGCTTGATGGAAGTTACCAATCCCATTAAAACTAAATGTGAAGAATGATTACCCTAAACTGATTATGATCCTGTTGACGAGAGAGCAGGGAAAATTCTGATCTCTCCTTCCAGCAATAGCTGTGAATATGCTATATCCACCCGTGCCAAGTTCTGACCAGGCCTCGGTTTAATATCTGATCTGAAAAAACGATATCCCTGACAATGCAACCCATTTTTCATTTTCCTGATTTAGATTTATGCTCTTTTCAGATTTTCAGCTGCAATATTTTGTTTTTGTGTTTATTGTAGCCTATTTCTCTACTTTTTTCAAGATTTATGGAATCAAGCACCCAACTAGGAATTGAAACAAAATAAAGAACTGCAGATGTTGTAAATCTGAAACAAAAACAAAACATTCTGCTGAAACTCAGCAGGTCTGGCAGCATCTGTGGGAAGAAAGCACAGTTGACACTTATGTCTGGTGACTCGTCATCAGAACTGTTAGCAGTAAGGGAAAAGTGATATTTATGCTGAAGATGAGAATTGATGGGAGAGCTGAGCAGATAGGCGGAGATGGAGCCCAGAAAGAGAGAGAGAGAGAGATATGAAAAGAGATATGAAAATAAGATAATGGTTAGCAGGCCAGGCAGAAGAAAAGCTGATTAAATGATAATAAGAGCTAAGAGTAGGAGAGAATGGGTGAGCTGTACTGAAAGCAGCCCATATAATGTGGTCAGACACCCAGGAGTAGATGACAATTGTCATCTCCAATAGGAAGCCACAACCAGACACACATTCCCGTCCCCTGTAAGCATTCTGTGGGGACTGTTCATCTGGTCCATTCCTCTCCCACTTCCAACACCACCTCCCACCCCTAAGGCACCTTCCTATTTAATCACAGAAGGTGTAGTACCTGCCCATTTACGACCTCCTTCCTCACTGTCCAAGGCCCCAGACATACCTTCCAGGTGAAGCAGCAATTTATCTGTATTTCATTCAATCTAGCCTACTGTATTCGCTGTTCAGTGTGGTCTCCTCTACACTGGGGAGATGAAGTGCAGAATACCTACATTCTGTCCTCCAAAAATGACTTCAGCTTCTAATTGCCTGCCACTTCAACAGACCACCATGTTCCCACACCATCATTTCTGTTGCAGGCCTGCTGTAGTGTTCCAGCAAGTCTGAGTGCAAACTCAAAGAATAACATCTCATTTTCTGTTTGGGTACCCTGCAGCCTCTGGCACTCAGTATTGAGATCAATAACTTTAGAGTATGACTCTATCCTTCCATAATTTTTATACTCACCCCATACCCAGGCCTCTTAAGATGAGGGTTGCTTTTTGCATAGCCAGCTGTACTCACCTACTCCTAGGCCAATTATCAGGCCAGACCCTGCTGTGTTTCTGTTTTTATTTCACCTAGGAATTAAACTGTTTTGGATTTAGTATTGAGTAATGCGAAAGGCTAAATAATAACTTTGCTGTAAAGAAGCCTTTGGCAAATGATAGCCATAACATGGTTGTGTAAAAGTCTTAAGTTTGAATGTGACATTCTAAAACCAGGGTCTTAAGTCTGAGCAAAGGAAACTGAGGGTATAAGGGGCGTGTTGGCTAATGTGGATTGGGAAAATGCACAAGGATTTGATGGTAGACAGGCAAAAGAAATACTACAAGTCTACTTCCCTCCGTGGGAAAGGCCAATTGACCACAGTCAACAGAAGAATTTAAAGGTTGTATTAGATCAAAGGAAGTAGCTAACATGAAAGCCAGGAAGAGTGGCAAGCCTGAGAATTCAGTGTGATGTAGGACTTGGCAAAAGAGGATCAAGAAGCCAATAAGGAAATAGAGACAGGAACATAAATGTAAGCAAATGAGGTACATGGAAGGTTTTGCTATATGCTTTATCAGTATATAAAAGAGAAAAATGATTAACTGGGATAAATGCAGGCCAATTGCATATGGGGACATGGAGTAGCGAACAGGGAAATGGAGAAACTAAATGGTTATTTTTCATCTCTTTTTCACAAAAAACCTCCAGAAATGCTAAGTAACTTAGGGACTTGTTTTACTGTGGAACCAGTCGAAATTAGTATTAGTAAAGAGAGTGAACTTGAAAAATTAGCTGGATTAAAGATTGATACATCCTTTGGACCAGATAAATTTCATCCAAGTGAGTTGAAGGAAATAATAATAGGGCTAGTGGATGTATTGGTGGTTACCTTTTCTAACCTAGATTCTAGAAAGGTTGCTGTAGCCTGTAATTGTAACCCTGTGGTTTAAGAAGGGAGGAAGAAGGAAAACCTACAGACCTGTTGTTTGTGGATGTTACTTGTAGTTAAACAAAGGAAGTCCTGTGGATATACTGTATTTGGATTTTTAGAAGCTTTTGATAAGGTCTCACATAAGAGAATAACATGCAGAGAGCAGGAATAAACAGATCATTCTCAGGGTGGCAAGTTGTTACTAGTGGGACTCAAGAAGGTCAGTGCTTGGTCCACAACTGTTCACAGTTTACAGGATTGATTTGGATGTGGGAGCCAATTATAATGTTTTGAAATTTGTTGATGCAATTAAACTGGAGAGGCTTGAATAGGTTCAGCGAGCTAGAATGTGGCAAATGAAACAATATAATTTAAATAAGTATGAAATTATTCACTTTGGGGGAAAAACAGAAAGGTAGAATATTTCTTAAATGATGAGGAGTTGGGAAGTGTGGATGCCTAGTGGAATCTGAGTATCTTTGATCATGAGTTGTTTAAAAGCTTGCATGCAAGTGCAGCAAGCTATCAAGAAGGCAAATGTTGTGTTGCCATTCATTTCATAGGGGTTTGACTACAGAAGATTTCTCGTTATAGTTGTGTAGAATCTTGGTGAAATCACACCTGGAGTACTGTTTGTACAGTTTTGGTCTCCTTATCGAAGGAAGGATAAATATTTACTAATCAACCAGTTCAGAGATGTTATGACATGCCTCTTGAACAGGTAGGACTTGAACCCAGGCCTTTTGGTTCAGAGGTAGAACACTACTATTACAACATGAGCATTTCTAAGGGACTATGAGCCAAAGACAGACTTCAATGGATGCTCACTAGATTTATCTCTAGAATGATGGGATTGCCTTACGAGTAGGGATCGAGGAAAATTTATTCTCTAAGAGTTTTGAAGAATAAGAGGTGATATCATTGAAACTTATATAATAAGATATAATGAAGTGTGAAGTGATTCATTGTGGAAGGTCGAATTTGAATGCAGAATACAGGGTTAATGGCAGGATTCTTGGCAGTGTGGAGGAACAGAGGGATCTTGGGGTCCACGTCCATAGATCCCTCAAAGTTGCTACCCAAGTTGATAGGGTTGTAAAGAAGGCATATGGTGTGTTGGCTTTCATTGGCAGGGGATTTGAGTTTAAGAGCCGTGAGGTTATGCTGAAGCTCTATAAAACTCTGGTTAGACCACACCTGGAATATTGTGTTCAGTTCTGGTTCATTATAGGAAAGATGTGGAAGCTTTAGAGAGGGGGCAGAGGAGATTTACCAGGATGCTGCCTGGACTGGAGGGCAGGTCTTATGAGGAAAGTTGAGGGAACTAGGGTTTTTTTTCATTGGAGCGAAGAAGGATGAGACGTGACTTGATAGAGGTTCACAAGATGATGAGAGGCATAGATAGAGTGGATAGTCAAAGACTTTTTCTCAGGGCAGAAATGACTATTACGAATGGGCATAATTTTAAGGTGATTGGAGGAAGGTATAGGGGAGATGTCGGAGGTAGGTTCTTCACACACAGAGTGGTGGGTATGTGGAACGCGCTGCCGGCAGTGGTAGTGGAGTCAGACTTAGAAATTTTTCGGAAGCCCTCAAATGAGTAACCATAAGTCAGTAACCAATAGGTCGGCACAACATTGTGGGCCAAAGTGCCTGTACTGTGCTGTACTGTTCTATGTTCTATAATGTTTCCTCCGGTTGGTGATTCTACAATTAGGGGATATAATCTCAGGATAATGGGCAGCCATTTAAGATTGAGATAAGGGAGAATGCCTTTCACTCCTAGGGTGGTGAATCTTTGGAAATCTATACCCAGAAGGCTTTGGAAACGCAATCATTGAGCCGGTTCAATATAGAAATCGATAGGTTTCTGGAAGCTATTAATTTCAGTAAGCGATATGAAATAGTGCAGGAAAAGTGTTTAAGTAAAAGATCAGCCAAGTTCTAATTGAATGTTGGGGCAGACTCAATGGACCAAAGGACCTATTCCTGTTCCTATCAGACCGTTACTCCAACAATTTCTGCTTTTATTCCTCCTGTTCACCTTCTCTGCTTTAAGAAGGAACAACACAAGCTTTTCGAGATTCTCCTCAGTTCTGGAGACCTGAAAGAGGTTTTCAGTTACTATCAAAAAATACAACGTCAAAGATTTAGGAAAGGATTCCTCTTCTTATTGAAATTTACAGAATGTGATCTGTTGTGGGTAAATCACCACAAGTTGCCTCTAATCTGACTATTTATTAAGTAATCTCACAATCAAGTATTGAAATGATGATTTAAACTTTATTGCAAGTAACAACTAAAATAAGGCTCCTCAAGTAAGCAACTTAAACCTCACAACTCAACTTGGCTATTACCCGATTTAATGGTGGGATTTAGCTATGATTCCAACCAACAATGTTTGTCTCTGGAAATGTCTAGGGTTCGATCCTTGCGCAGTGTTATTCTTCAAAATTCTGCCAACGGTCTCACCTGTTCCAATTTCTTATGGTTTTATAGAAGGTGACTATTCAGCACATCATGTGTGCACCAGCTCATTAAATGAACATCATTGGCATTAGGTAATCTGCCAGTTCCCAATACATTGTACACTGTACACTATTTCTATCCAAATAATTATCCCAAATCCACCAGTTACTCATTTAAAGCCAAAAATCCAAGCTTACAGAAACCAACATTAAAAATTATATGTATATTTAAATGGTCTTCTCTGCTTATGATTTGAGGATAGGAAATGGGTTAGCCTCTGTTATGACCACTGTTCCTCTGTAGCTTTCCTTTTCTATTGTTTTTGTGTTGTAATGTCCAAATTAAAAATGAATTGTGTTCCTTCTGCAGCCTCCAGATACCATCTCTGAGAAAGACATTTGGCTTTTCTGTAAGTGCCCTTGCTTCAGTCTCTTGTTGGCAGCGCATTGTCATTTTATAAATATTTTAAGGGCTTATTGTTATCAAAGTGGCTAGGGTAGTGTTGTAGTTACGTTACTGGACACGTTACCCAGAGAATGAGTTCAAGTCCCATCCTGAATTTACAAATTTATATTCTAGTTAGAAAATGTAGAAATAAAAAGATGTGGGATTTTTGTGAATATACTGTTGATTCCCTAACATTCTTTAGCAAAGGAAATCTGCCATCGTTGCTTGCTTTTGTTTATGTATGACTCCAGTTTCACACCAAAGTGGTTGACTCCTCACTACTATCTGATGTGGCCTAGCAGATGGATTAGAACTTTAAGAAGAAGGCCCATACTGTCTTTGCAGAGCAGTTAGGAATGAACATTAATGCCAGTGATGCCCATATTTTGGGAATGAAGAAACAAATTTCATGTTTTCCTGATCACTGCTTTTTACACTAGCACCTTTTTTATGTTTTGATTATTCATACCACATGAGCTTATTTCAGAAAGGTGTGGTTCCTCACGATGCTGGAAATTCCAATGTTGTATTGACACGCTTTATGGTTAACACGTGGGCATCATTGAAGAGATCAAGTGATTAGGTTTGTGTAACTTTTCTACACATCTCACACGTGGGTTTTTCTGTAGCTGCTAGTTCCTCCTTCACTGCTGCAGTCCGAACCAGCTTTTGCTGGTTGTAGGGCAGCCTGGGGGCGTTCCAAATGTTTCTCCAGGCCTGCTGTTCGAACAAAATGCTTGCATTTAACAGTTACCCTTTTAACAGAGCAAAACATCCCAAGGTTCTTCACAGGATTATACATCAGACAGAAACTGACATATCAGGAGACATTAGGACAGGTGCCCAGAAGCTTAGTAAATGTGCATAGGCTTTAATGGTGTTTTAGGAAGAGGCCATTCAGCCCCTTGGGCCTGTTCTGCATTCAATCAAACCACACCTTTAAAGGAGGTAAGAGAGGCGAAAAGATTTCGTGACTGAATTCTAGCATCTGAGTTATATCCCAATCTGACATCCCATTGCTAGATTTCATTCTTAGCAGTCAAGATCAGATGTCTTGCTATGTGGCAGAATGGTGGGTCTGGCCTAATGGCCTTTTGGCGGCAGGGGACTGCTTCAGCAATGGTGGAGTCATTTTGGATCTGGTTCTCTGCGTTCCTTATCCATTTCATAAACCTGGGAGTTGTGGAGAGAACAGAAAATGAACTTTGTCGTAACTGTGTTTCAACTATTTCTTTTCATTATTTCTATAATTAAATTATCACCAAGTTACAGTGACTTATACACTTCTCATTATAATTTCATAAATACAAGTGACAATAAGTTACTATTCTATTGTGATCTAATTTGCACGTATAAAGTGTTGTAAGTTTGTAACTATTTTTTCCAACTTTTCTCAATAGCAGAACTCGTCTGCAATTTAATCAGAAGGGGGAGGAGATGATGACACTCTTGAGTATTTTGTTTTGCCTGGTATTGTTCCTAATCCTAACCATGGCTTTCTCCCCCACCAGGCAGGAATGCTGCTTTTCTACGACTTGTGCGATGTCGTTCGCTAGCAGAGGAGTTCAATGCAGAAACAACAAATAAAGAAGAAATTGGTAAATGTTATCAATTTATGGGGCCTACAGATTGTCTTAAAAGAGTTACCTTAAAAACAAAATTGGACATAAGCAGTAAGCCAGACTACATCTGAAGATGAAAGATTGTGACCAAACCATTTAATGGTTTTTCAGGAGTTTTGCAGTTGTAAACTTTTCATTTATTAGTTCAGAATTTTGGAAAATCATGTATTCAGCTGTCTCAAATTTCTATACCGTGGGAGTGCCACACTGTCAGAGGTGCTGAGGCTCCACCTTACTGGTCAGCAGATGCCATACATTGCTGTTAAAATCCACTCTTTGGCAGGCAAGGAAGGCATATCCTAATTAAAGGATGTATTGGCATTATCAGCAGTCATTCTGGTCGTTTCCATCACCCAATTTTACCACAGAATTGAGTGATAAGCCCCTTGTCAAAGAAGGCTTTTAAGTTTTGTAATAATGACCTATCCATGAGATGGTGGTCTGCTACATCCAACAGATGTGGGTATGCTGCTGAATACCAACACAGTTCAGAGCTCAAACTCCTGTCTTCATTTTCAGAGACTGATTAGATTGGTGTTCAACTAATTTGACTCTGAGGCAAGATTTTTAAAAAGATAAATCTCAGGATATGGATGTTGCTGGCTGAGCCAGAATTTTATTACCCGTCCCTCGTTGCCCTTAAGGTGATGTTGAGGCACCTTCTTGAATTGTTGTGTTGAACACGCTCCTGTAGTACTATTTGATAAGGATTTGATCCAGCATCAACACAAAGAAGTAGTCAAAAATGTCCCAGGTTAGGATGAGATAGTAAGAACTGCAGATACTGAAGTCGGATATAATACAGTGTGGAGCTGGAGGAACACAGCAGGCCAGGCAGCATCAGAGGAGCAGGAAAGTTGACGTTTCTCCTGGTTGTTGTGCCAAACATTTACCCTAAACCTAAGGTCTATCTAACCTCCACCCCTACCTTATACTATCATCCATATGCCTATCTAATAGCCACTTAAATGTCCCTAATGAGGTCGACTCCACTACCCTCTCCAGCAATGCATTCCACGCCCCTACCACTCTCTTGAGTAAAGAACCTACCTCTGACGTCTGCCCTATATCTACCTCCACTCACTTTAAAACAATGCCCCCTCATAATAGCTACCTCCACCCTAGGAAAAAGTCTCTGGCTGTCCAATCTACCTATACCTCTGATCATTTTGTACACCTCTATCAAGTCAAAAGAACACAGTGAAAATTTTGAGAGAATGTCTGAAGTGAGAGCTTGGTTGCTTGATGTGTTCCTTTTGATTCTGTGTGGTCGTATGCTTCATCAATAAATTTCACAGTTTGTTTTCCACCTTATTTGGAAATCGCAGTGGGCAGTCCATACAAGTATACTTCTCAATCCAGAAGTAACGTTGACCATCAATCCCTGTCTTATATTAGCAGCTTTCTAATCGTTGACTGCCAGACACTGCATAGGTAGGCAACCCCAGTAACAGCTGTGGCTTTAACTGCTAGTTCCTATCTTCTGGGATACTCTCCCTAAATGTCTCTGCCTCTTTCCTCTCCTTTAAAACACTCCTTTAAAACCTGTGTCTGTGACTAAGCTTTCACTCATCTGTCCTAATATCATATTTACTCCCACTGCCATCAGCGCACAATTAATCATCTACAAGATGCATGGCAGCAACTGCATCAGCAGCACCTCCCAAACCTGCAACCCCCACCACCCAGGACATGAGCATGGGACCTTCACCACTTGCAAGTTCTCCTCCAAATCACCATCCTGATTTGGAAATTTATCACTGTTCCTTCATTGTCACTAGATCAAAATCGTAGAGTTACTTCCCTAACATCGCTGCTGGTGTATCAACACCATGTGGGCAGCTCACCACCGTTTGGGATAGGCAGTAAATGTGATGTCCAGAACTTAAAAAGAACAAAGAACAAGAATAGACCAGTCAACCCTTTAAGCCTCATCCGCTATTCAATAAGATCATGGCTGATCTGATTTTAGCTTCAACTGTACATTCCCGCATACCCCTAATAATCTTTCCATCCCTCGGTAACCCAGAATCTCTCTACTTCTACCTTAAAAATATTGAAACATTATGCATCACTGCCTTTTGAGGAAGGGAATTCCAAAGACACTAAGTCCTCCGAGACTTCATCTGTCTTAAATGGGTGACACCTTATTTTTAAACTAGATTCTCCTACAAGAGAAAACATCCATTCCACATCCATCAGCTCAAGTCCCTTCAGGATCTTGTATGTTTCAAGATGAACAACTCACAAAAAAAAAGTGCCTTGGCAATTTTTGATTGCTAATTATTTAACAGCAGGGCCCTTTTTTTTTGTCTGTCGCACTTTGGGTAAAAATGAAAGGTAGAATGTCTGTCCCGTACTATGCTCAATAGTATTAAACCATTTCGGTCAGTGGAAATGGTCAGTGCTACTTTCTGCACATCGCATGGTTGCTCTATCTCAATCGGTGTCGTTTATTTCTAATCATCTTCACACAGTAACTGATCATTGAACCTTTTCCCATCAGCTCGTTCCAAAATCTTTCCATCTTCAATGGGTCTGTAAAATTCTGGCTAATCCTGTTTCTTTTGTCATGCAGCTTCTTGTATGGAGAATCTCGACAGCGAAATGGTTTTGTACATAATGCTACGAGCTGTCGATTGTTTTCACAGGCAGCATGGGCGATACCCAGGTATGTAACTCAATGTTGGTTATGGAACTACCTCCTGATACCTATTTCCTGACGAGTTGTAATTCATCAGGTACAGATTAACTCATGTTTTTCAGGTTGAGATTTATTTTACATAGGGGGTTGGCTAGCTCAGTTGGCTGGAGGGCTGGTTTGCAATGCAGAGTGATGCTAACAGAATGGGTTCAAGCCCCACACTGGCTAAAGTTACCATGAAGTACTGTCCTTCTCAACCTCTCCACTTGTCTAAGGCATGGTGACCCTCGGATTAATCCACCTGTAACTGTTTCTCTCTAATGAGAGAGTAGCCCTGAGATCTGGTAAGATATGGCAACTTCAGATATGGCCCTTTGGCCCACATGCCAAACATGACACCAAATTAAATTAATTCCTTCTGCCTGCCCTTGGTCCACATCCTTCCATTCTTGATAGAGGTGTACAAAATGATCAGAGGTATAGAAAGAGTAGACAACCAGAGAATTTTTCCTAGGGTGGAGGTAGCTATTACGAGGGGGCATAGTTTTAAAGTGAGTGGAGGTAGATATAGGGGAGACGTCAGATGTAGATTCTTTACTCGGAGAGTGGTAGGGGCGTGAAATGCATTGCCGGAGAGGGTAGTGGAGTCGGCCTCATTAGGGGCATTTAAGCGGCTATTAGATAGGCATATGGATGATAGTATAAGCTAGGGGTGAAGGTTAGATAGACCTTAGGATTAGGGTAAAAGTTTGGCACAACATCGTGGGCCGAAGGGCCTGTACTGTGCTGTACTGTTCTATGTTCTGTGTTCATTCCTTGCCTATTCATGTGGTTATCTAAAAGTCTTTTAACACCCCTATCATATCTGCCTCCACCATCACCCCTGGCAGTGTGTTCCACACTGATACCACTCTCTGTTTTAAAAAAAAACTTGCCCCTCTCAGTTTGAATGTATGCCCCCTAATTTTAGACATTTCAAGTCTGGGAACAAGTCAGTGTCAGTTATGGCTCAGTGGATAGCACCCTTGTCTCTAACTCAGAAGTTTGAGAGTTTCAAACACTAACCAGTTGTGCACCAACATCTCGGCTGGTGCTCCAGTATAGTACTGAGAGATTGCCACACAGTCGATGGTGCTGCTCTTCAAATGAGACCTTAACCTGAGACCCCATCCACCCACTCAGGTATGTATAAAAGTTTCCATGTTACTAATTCGCAGGAGTGCAAGGGTATCCAGCAGTCAATATCACTTTTATAAAAAACCCCAGCTGATCACATTGCTGTCCATGGGAGCTCGTGCACAGGTTGGCTACTGTGTTTCGTATATTATAACTGATAGCATTTACAAATTTCATTTATTAGCTAAAAAGCAGTTTGGGACATCCTCAGGTTGTCCCAAACTCCACATACCGTTTATCCCTTATCGCTTTATGCCTCTAGAAAACTAAAATCTATCCATCTCCGATTTAAAGTTGACCGAGTACCAATCGCTATTTGTGGAAGAGACTTCCAAACTCCTATCACGCTTTGTGTATTAATGTGTCTACTATTTTGACTCCTGAATGGTCTGATTCTATTTTGCAGGCTATATGCCCTGTAACTGTAGGTTCTCAACCAAAACAAATTTCTTTTCTCTATTTACCTGACCTTACCATTGCGAAGGCAATAGGCTGATGGCCTTATTGCTAGACCATTAATCCAGAAATTCAGCTAATCTGACATGGCAGATTGTGGAATTTCAATAAATTCAGTTTTCAAAAATCTGTAATTCAAAATCTACTGATGACCATGAAACCATAGGTCAGTTGTCAGAAAAACCCAGTTGGTTCAGTAATGTCCTTCAGGGGAAGGAAATCTGCCATCCTCCTCTGGTCTGGCCTACATGTGACTCCAGACAGCAATATGGTTGACTCTGAGTTGCCCTCTGAAATGGCCTAACAAGCCGTTCAATTGTAAAAATCACAACAAAGTCTCAACTAAGAAATGAAACTGTATGTACCACTTAGCATCGAACAAGGCAAAAACAGCCCTGTTGACCCTATAAAGTCTTCCTTACTAACATCTGAGGCTAGTGCCAAAATTGGGAGAGCTGTCTCACAGATTAGTTAAGTAACTGCCTGACACTGTCTATAACGTATGATTCCACGAGTATGACGAAGACCCAGCCATCACCATCTCTGCATATATCCTGTTTCACCAAAAGAACAGACCAGCAGAGGTGGCAGCACAGAGGTGTACAGTCAGAAGGAAGTTGCTTCATCACTGACTCTGGACCTCCATGAAGTCTCATGCCATCAGGTTAAACATGGACAAGGAAACCTCCTGCTGATTACCACATACTGGCCTCCCTTGGATGATGAATCAGTAACTCCTCAATGTTGCGCAACACTTAGACGAAACACTGAGGGTGGCAAGAGCATAAAAATGTGCTCTGGTGGGGAATTTCAAGAGTGGTTCGGCAGCAGTAGCACTGATCATGCTGGTTAGGTCCTAAAGGCCATAGCTGCTAGACTAGGCCTGCAGCAGGTGGTGAGGGAACCAACAAGAGGGAAAAACGTATTTTACCTCATCCTTACCAATCTGCTGGCAGCAGGTGCACTTGTTTATGTGTATTGGTAAGACTGACCACTGCACAGTCCTTGTGGAGATGAAATCCTGCCTTCACATCAAGAATACCTTCCATCGTGTTGTATGGCACTATGTGTGCGCTAAATGGGAGAGACTTCAAACAGATCTAGCAACTCAAGACTGGGCATCCACAAGATGCTGTGGGCCATCGACAGCAGCAGAATCCCACCCTAACTCAACCTGCAACTCGTGGCCCAGTATATTCCCACTCAAATATTACCATCAAGCCAGGGGATCAACAGTGTGGAAGCAATCCATCCAGTCCACACGGACCCTCTGAACAGCATCCCACCCGGACCCATCCCAGCTCTGTAACTGTGCTTTTACCATGGCTAACCCATCTTGCCTGCCCATCCTTGGACTCTATGGGAAATTTAACATGGCCAATCCACCGAACTGGCAAATCTTTGGACTGTGGGAGGAAAATGGAGCACCTGGAGGAAACCCACATAGACACAGGGAGAACATGCAAATTCCACTCCGTCACTCAAGACTGGAATCGAACCCGGGTCCCCAAAGCTGTGAGCCAGCAATGCTCGCCACTGAGCCATCATGCCAGTTGTGAATTGTGATGGACAATTAAACAATTCACGGAGGAGACTCCACAAATATACTCATCTTCAATGATGGAAGAGCCCAGCACATCAGTGCAAAAGATGAGACTGAAGCATTTGCCGCAATCTTCAGCCAGAAGTGCTGAGTGGACGATCTGTTGCAATCTCTTCCAGTGGTCACCAGCATTACAGATACAGTCTTCAGCCAATTTGTTTCCCTCCACGTGATATCAAGAAACATTTGGAGGCAGTGGATACTGCAAAGGCTACAGGCCCTGACAACATTTCAGCAATAGTACTGAAGACTTGAGCTCCAAAATCCAATTACCAAAATTGAGCAAATCTGTGGTAAATCAATTTCATTCACTTAATGAAATACCTTCTTGTAATTCTATTTCAATCTACACTTTATAATTCTGCCAGTCTTTGTGCCGTTGGCAAATTTGAATGTGAGACTTTGTATAATAAATACGTAGAATAGTTGAGGACAGGATAGGAGATAAACTGATTATTGGTACTGCCCTGTGACCGGCTGGTTAATTGTAAGAATTTGTGCCTCTGTTTACTAACTCCATTGCAGTCAATTTCTTCCCAACTTAGGGGTTCCTAAGTCCAGCCTGAAGTGGGAGCCTCAGTTTATCCCATCGAGGCTTATTCTGTGCAGCATCGCTTTAGAGGTTCTATCACCACCTGCTCCCAACAGAGTCGCCCTATTTATTGAAACAATATGATGGCAGAGTGGATCAGTGCACCTTGGATGTGGGAAATAACCTTTGAAGAGTAGAAAGGGATCCATTCCCTGAACCACTGATCTCAGCTGGTGCTTCAGTTGAGGGTGACCGTTTCCTCAGCAGCTCTTGATTGCTCCTAGTCTGTCTCCTGGTAGAGTTGCTAAACTGATAAAGAACTGTACCTCAATAATGAAGAGGTCTTCCATTTATTTTGTTAAAAGCAGTTCTGTTTTGTGGAAGTAATGAATTCTTGTTCTGACAGGTGTTTATAATAACCAAGTTGAAGAGGATATTGGAAAGTTGAAATCGTGCGTGGTTGGCCTGCTGCAGGAGTGGGGTGTCTCCGTATCTGTGAAGGATGACTACATTCATGAATTGTATGTTTTTGTACATGTCATTAGCTTCTAGAGACAGCTCAATGGAAGATGTCTAATAGGGAAAAGCAGCTGGGAGAGGTTCACGTGTCACTGCTCAATTCACCCACCTCCAACTCCTTTAGACTCCCCTTGAGCTTACATTTCCTATCATTAGAATCACAGAATCCCTACAGTGCAGAAGTAGGCCATTCAGCCCAACAGGTCCACATTAATCCTCTAAAGTGCATCCCATCCAGACCAAACTCCTTACCTTATCCCTGTATTTCCTCTGGCTAATCCACCTAGCCTGCACACTGCTGGACATATGGATGGCCAGTCTGCCCAACCTCCGCATCTTTGGACTGTGGGAGGAAACCTGAGCACCTGGAGGAAACCCACGCAAACACAGAGAGCACGTGCAAACTCCACACAGATGGTGAACCCAGGTCTGTGGCGCAGTGAGGCAGCAGTGCTAACCAGTGAGCCACCATCCCATCCCTATCAATGTAGGAATTTCACAGTCCTCTAAAACCAACTCATCCAGAGCCTGGCACTTTATTAGCAATGAAATATTCCAGAATTTCCCACACTAATTGATCCAACATCCTGCAACTATACTAATGGAGGGTGGGGTGGTTTCTTAATTCCTTGGATTGAATCCTTTAGAGCCCTATAAGACTATATCAGTATGGAGTTTCACAATCCCTCCAACTGCATCAGTTCCCTGAAACTGTCAGATGTGCAATGTATAATTACTGACTCCAGTCATTCAATTCACAACCTTCTATCACTCTGGGTGAAAGGGTTTCTCCAGCTTACTATCGTTGTGATTAATCTTGTATCTAAAACTATGTTAATTACGACAGTCGCGTTGTCTGGTGACTAAAGTTTAAAAATGTGGAGTCAATCGAACTTAAATATTTAAACTTTAATGCTTCTGGATGTAGATTTAAGGGCCACAGGAAGTAACTCTCGCGAATATCCTTGCAAACCACCTTCAAGGGAAAATGTCCCCTGTCCCTTTTATAGGCAGTTTAAATCCACTAAAATGCATAAATAGTTCCTGAAGAGCGTCTTTTTCCTCTTTCAGTTGTAGGTATGGTGCTTCAGAACCACATGCTGTTGCCTCATTTTTGGGAGGTATGTTTCTCTTTTTATCTTATTGGGTTATTTCTGATTGCAGCTTATTGTCACATTGGTTGTGTTGCAATGTGAACGGGTTTGCCTTGTTTTTATTTTCTGCCATTCACTTTCTCAAAGCTTTTTAAAGTATAGATTGTCTTTACAACTGACTTTAATGCTTTGCCATTCAACTAGATCATGGTTCAATCCCTGCCTCTACATGTCATTCAATTTAGTTTTGCTGTCATTATCCTTTTAATACCTTTTCCTACCAAATGCATCCATCCTTCAGTTTTGAATTTTTCAACATTTAAAAACCTTTTGTGGTGGGACAGGGGTGGAGGCATGGAAAAGTGCTGGAAATGGTCAGCAGGTCAAGCACATCTGTGGAGAGAGAGAAACAAAGTTAGCGTTTTAGGTCTTTCATCAAGACTGAGAAACTTCAAAATATACTAAGTTTTTAAAGCTTGTTTTGGAGGTGGGGTAATAAGTTCAAAAGGAAAGGTTTGTCAAAGGATGGAACACAGGAGATATTAAACAACAAAAATGTTGGTGGTCCAAGGTGAAAGAAATTGGTATTAAACTAAGTGAAGAAACAAAAAATATATTTGAACGAGGTGTGAATGTCAGAATTATGGATAGCTCCAATCCAAAAACAAAATTAAAACTGAAACCCAAAAAAAAACACCAAAATGCACAGATTACTGTCTCATTGAACTTGGTGTTCAGTCTAAAGGCTGCAGTGTACCTCACTAAAAGGTGAGGTGCTGTTCCTTAAGTTTCCCTTGAGCTTCAGTGGAACACTGCAGGAAGCTAAAGATCAGTGTGAGAAAAGATAAGGAATTACAAGGGCAGGCTACCAAAGGCCTGGATTTAGATGCTTGTCCGTGGCTTTCATAATCAGGCCCTATTTGACCCCTCCCCATCCACGAGGTTCCCAACAACAGTTCTGTCTTTCTCCCCCAACACTACCAGTGCCAAACTATTCCCCAATGTCTCTAACTCCCAAACAACCATACAAGTCACAAAAACAAAGTTGCTGGAAAAGCTCAGCAGGTCTGGCAGCATCTG